CAACGCAGTGTACCTGTAATTAAGGCAATTAATTAAATTTAAATAGGATATTATAAATATTTCTTTATTATTTTTATCATATACTGCATATTTATTGTTTTATTATTGAAATCAATTCAATTTAAATATTGGCAATATTGATGTAAATTTGTTATCATGTAGACGTTCAATGACATTTCTAAATGATACATTTTTGTGTGCAATGTCGTAAGTCATATCGTCGGCGATAATACATTTACGCGTAAGTAGCATTGGTTTATGAGTTTCCATTTCAGTTATTTAGTGGCCAAATCAAATACGCGTAAATTTCTTAGCCAACAAATCAGCGTGATTTACGGAAATCTATTGTTATGAGTCCATAGATAACATAAATTAATGTAAAAATTAGAGTAGTAGTCATTGAAATAACCAAGTAATAACGTTAAATCCGTCTACTGTAAAATGTGGTTTAGCGCAGATACGAGGCTTTTACCAATAATATATACGCGGATTTGCATTACCCCCGACGATATCACAAAAATATTGACCATCAAGATACTCATATGATTTTAAGTTCGTATTTTTGTAAAGTATTTGTATTTGTTCGCACGTTTGTTAAATACTGACGTATTAATAAAATATATTAGTATTTATAGAGTTATAAGTTACACTAGCGCTACAGTACTTTTATGAAAACGTAATTTAAGTTAAGAAGAATAACACTTTTTGTGAAAAATAGAAACAGACATAATATTAATCTTGACAGACGTCTTCACAAAGTCACAATATTGCATATACAATAATAGGGGTCTGGTTTATGTTCTAAATATCCCATTTATGAGGTTTAAAATTATAGTGTAACCATAATGAGTGTAACAAAAACTTTAAAGGTTTGTATGTACAGTTAAATATATTTTTATATTCAGCTTCTGTGTACTTGTATGACAAAAATCCATGGTTTTAAACCCATTTAGAGTGTGTGCTTTATTATTATTATTTAGATTCTTTCAAACTACAAAATTAGAAATAATTATTGTAAGTGATAAATTTGTGTATAAATGTCTACGTACTTACAAAGAGCAACTCCTACTGTTTCTTACTAACTACTATTTGCTGGATAGCGCATAAGCAGATTAAATGTGTTGAACGGCGCGTTTGAATCGCGTTAACGCGCGGTGTCTGCGTAAAAAATACGCCGTGTGCACAGACTCTTATGTCTATGTATATGAAGACTTTGCAAGAGTTGATGTTGTGTGGAAGTACTGTTCGAAGGTGGAAAATGCACAGATAGCTAAATGCAGCTTGAGTATATCGATCATTAAAACGATAGTACGTCCCATTAAAGACTTGCATGTGTATTTAGCGACTAAATATAAAATTTATACGAAGTGTAAATATTTTGAAGACTTATTTATCAACTTCTCTAAGTCTTACAGTTAGTAAGTAACCTTGTAGTTCAGCTAAGGAACGAGCTATTATGATATATGAGGATTAATAAATTAAAAAAATAATAAATGGAAAGGCTCATAATTTTTTCAGTATGCCTATAGCGCACTAATGACGGTTATTCCTACCAACGTGGAAGCACAGCGAGCCCTTTCCGCAGTTGGCTACCCAGTTTGTAAGGTCAGGAGCCTTAGCGGCTTTAACTATTAATACTTTGTTATTTTTGCACAGTACATCCGAAATAATACTTAACTACCATATTATGATTTTTTTTTTATAATATCAAGTTACGGTACGAACAATTCATACGCCTGATGGCAAGCTGCACGCCTGTCCTTAACAGTTGCAGTGCCACTCAAAATTTTAAATCGCAAAAATCTGAGGGGCACTGCCACTGCGCCCGTCACCCTGAGACATAAGTAGATAAGTCTCATGTGCCTGTAATTTCACCAGCACCCTTACCCTTATAAACCGGAACACAGTAATGCTGACATTACTGCTTGGCGGCAGAAGTAGGTAAGGTGGTAGTACTTCCCTGCACGAACTCTTTCACAAGGAGCTCTACTGCTACTACTGTGATACCTAATTTATGATTGATCTCAATAAATAACTTAATAATATCCTTTCTTTCTTTGAAGTTTATCCCTTCGCAAACTTATAGTTTCAAGATATAACCTTTTGTTCTCGAAGTCTTTCAGCATTCTGCGGGATCCAAATATCGAATGCAATGGAATGCAAATACCGGTATTGAGATTATTCGGCGGGATTGCATTCCCTAGTACTGAGTTTATAAAATACAATAAACCTAATAAGGAATTATGAAATCCTAATTGGACCTTTAAATTATATATACAATTTATTTGAACATAGACAATGCAAAAATTTACATTGTATATTTTAAAATTTGACAATAATTATAAAACCCTCTTTCATTTATATAAAATGAGACATAAAAAATCCCCAAAAGTAATCAAACGAAAAGTTATTCCCAACGAATACGGATACCGTCGTAAAGAATGCAATAAATATACATATTTATACGATAATGGTATAATGGTTTTAGAGAGATCGGGTGGAACGCTCTTGCTAACATTTAACTTGTTTAGTTGACCGTTTGACCTTGACATTTTATACAGCAGGTGTATTAAAATTAATGAACAAATGAAACTCTTGCTTCGGTAACTATTATATCGCGCCCTTGATGTAGTTGGATCACACCTGCAAAATAACAACTTTTTGAGGGCTTCAAAAAAGGAGGAGGTTTTCAATTCGACTGTATTTTTTTGTGTATGTATGTTTGTGTGTGTATGTGATTACAAATAGATAAAAGTTCATGGAATACCATTTATTTGCTAAGTTTTATAGAAATCGGTTACCGGATTCAGACCCTAGTTTGCCACCTTTAGAGGTGGAATATTTTCTTCAAATTTAAATGTAACAAACTGATTTTTTTTGTGTGTATGTTACGATATGATTACATGAGGCTTTGTTGTACCAAGGATGCGATATCTTGATGTCTTTAGACTAAAAAATTGTACCGTGCGGCCAAATATTTAACAAACCTATTACGAGAGTTTTGTTTATAAATGTCAGATAGCGATTCCGAAAATACAAGTTTGCTGGACTCTATTGGAAATTCATAACATAATATACATATATATTATTTGATTATGTATAATACATTTGTTTTCACCTTTGCTGCATTGAGCTGGTTTTGAGAGAAACTTTTGTCGAGTAATGCTTTCTAATATGAAACTAAGAAGTATGGAAAGTTTGTTAAACAACATAGCATATTGTAGTCACAGAGTTTAGTTAAATATATGTTGACTGAGAGACTTCTCACGTTACCACTATTAGTTAACTCGTAAATATTTAAATAGGTTTTTGTTTGTTTCGTATGTTATTTGTCTCAATTTCAAGAATATTGTCTACTTATTATTAAGCCTTTCCAAAACTCAAGAAAAACGATATTCCTTTGAGGATTCGCTAATAACATTTCCCCTCACAAACACGGGATACACCTGTAATTTAAATATACTACTGTACAATAAAGAAATATAAATAAAGAGTAAATATACTGTATAACCTATAATTTAAGTATACTACAGTAAACATTTTTTTAAATTGAAAAGTTGATATTTTTGATGATCAGAACAATTTGGAGGTAATTAGACCAAGGCCAAAAGTATATATATCTCCTATGTAAGCATATATTCACTTTCTTTCGAGGCTTTGTTCATATCACTTCGCTGTCGCACACTTAAGGCAGGCCCGATCACACTTTGCAAATTAGTTGTGTTATAAGAGGTTATTTACAAAAATATATTACGAATTTGTACCAATGTGTGAAAATCAAAATGTTAAATCGCATCATTAATGTTGTCCAAAGCTATAGCATCGGGACGGCCGTCATCTGTATCACGATAGTCTGTGCAATGCCCTCTGTGTTCCTGATCGTCGTTTTATATCCAATAAATTTAAATATTAACCGCTTCCTTACCTACCTATGATATCCTTTGTTGCTCATTTAAAGCGCTGCATTGGTCTTTGGACTTTTGATAAACCGTAGGCTAGAAGCTTAATAGACGTCTATTGATTTGATGTGAATAAATGTTTAAAAAATGTGTGATTACAGAGAGACGATATATCCCTCTCGTATATATTTTATTTTATAGTATTCAGTCCGGAAAACAGATTGGTAGTCAACAGAGGAATTGTAAATAATACCGCCAACGCTTTGCCGGACTTGTGACGTGAGAAGTTAAGTGTCCCGTGTTATTCAACACCGGAACTTACCATCAGTTAGCATTATGTATATATATAAATATTCAGTTATTAGACAACTATGGTAACATTCACATTTATCAAAATCTTTGACATTTATTAACTTTTCGATTGTTTTTAAAAATTATGGTCAAATTGTAGAGACACAATACTTCCATTATTGATTCATGCATATTATGTACATTTCAAGTTCATAATTTAATCAGTCTTATAGGTTTCGATAGGAGAATTTTAGATTATTTATTGATTGGAACCTTGTTAAGTTTGATAAAGAATCTGTTACCATTCTGTTAAGTTTTACTTCAAATTACGTCACAAAAGGAATTCACATGATTTTATGTATCTAGCTGGAGTTATTTCGACGGTGCTTTTAAACGCCACTCAGATATAAAATATGGAATGCACATTTGATTTTGAGATAGGAACCTACTCTACTAGCTAGATATCTACGACTACTACATAGATATCTAGATAGATGCCATTATTTTTGAGAGTTTAATAAAATGCACTTATTCTTTTATTGCAAATATAAAACATATTAACTACGAATTTAATTGGAACCGTTGCCGTCGTTACTTATCATTCGAATTAGGATTACCTTTTTGCTGATGTAGCAATGTCATGGCATCTGATAGGCAAATACTTAGTTCATTTCTTAGTCATAATGCTATAAATAGGCTATGATGATTTCAACAAAATAATACAAATACGAAACGAAATTGGAGGCTGACAACAGCAAAATACACCTTACACGTATACTTAAAAATAGTAATAAATTGTCGTATTCGTACCTTGTATATGCCATCGACAAGTTTAGTAAGTTCTTCAGTCTCCATGGCGGGATAGTTTCAGCAAAACAGGATCAACAGTCACACGTGATACTCATCGGTAAACTTTTTTATACACAAGTCAAGTTAGACTTTAACACCAAAACACAAAATTCACATTTCTTTCATTCGTTGTTTTCTTGGCGGCTTAATCACTCAAGCAAACCAACTCACTTTCGAAGACATCTGAAACAAAAGAAAATCGGATTACTTTCCAAGTTTAAATTTACAAACAAAAGTTAAATTAGAGCTTGTTTAATAATTGTATTGGCTAGCTATAGTAACTTGATATTATAAAAAAATAACAGTTTTAAAGAAGTATAATAAACACCTGAGATATATCGTAATATGAACATGAAGGCGTGCGTCCGGTGCGCGCCGTTCTACTCGAATCACCTATCGCCTCGAGTCGAGTATCACACGAATGTCGAAGTTTAGTAATACGAGGCAAACGAACGGCGGGCGTATTCTGTGCCTACGCAATGCATTCTCGATAGACACTAGATTATGCTGTTCGATAGGCAAATAGCTGATGGTATGCGAGGAATTTATAATGCAATGCAGTGACGAAAAAGAAATATGTTATAGAGCGGAAAACATCTTGATACGACACGAGCAGACACTGAATTTAAAAGCTATTTTGATCAATAAATAAAGTTAATAGTAATGTTATTTTAGATCTGCCTTATAGAGGTGATTGGTGAAATTACGTCGGGTGCAGAAGCAGTGTTCGTCCGATCTTTGCGTTTTAAAGCTCTGAGTGGCTCTGCAACCGTTATGGACAGGCGTGTCACTTACCACTCAGGCCAACGCGACGTGTTCGTCTCGTCACTTGGTATTATAAAAAAAAAGATCGAAAGTAATATATTTTAAAAATAAGTGACATTATATACAAGTTATAGAAGAAACTTGTCTTAACTTTGAGTTGCCAAATTCGGTAACACCGTAACAAAACATAAAGTAATTAAGTAAAACACGATGTTTTACACCGCTTCTTAAACTCTTTTCAGAATATGCGGTCTATCAGTAAGCGCCCGAACTTTACTGTTAGATAACTTCTTACGCTTAGCTTAACAAGTTAAGCTGGAATTTGGTGCGGTCACTTCCAAATATCTCTCGGCCATTGACTGTAAAATGATCTCTATAATGTCAGGTAAATTGCACAAACAAACTAAATTACCATTTTCAATTGTTTCGCTCCAGGCATTACGATTGTAATTTCCATAGCATTTCCAGTCGCGGAGAATTAATTGCAAAATAATCTTTTGATCAAAAAATAAAAAATAACGCCGTCGGCTGCAGAAAGTTCGTGTCGAAAAGGAGTGTTACGAAATATTTTTCATCAATGTCACAATAGCAATTTAAACAGAAATACTTATAACTGTGCATAGTATACATGTAATTTGCGTGGCAGGTGTTACCTACGCGTAGACGTGAACACAATGGAGAGCCTAAAATTATTCACTTTCATTTTCATTGACGCCTACTGGCTACCTTATCTATCAGGGTTCTTGAGGTTTTATGACTAACTCTGACTGAAGTCGCCTTTTAAACAGAGACGTCAAGCTATATTTTCGAAGTATAAATAAACATGCACATCAAATTATACTGAGTAGTACCTTGCACACGTGTCTTGATACAACTTTAGTAGTAGCCCCATATCTTTCTGCGTTAGTTTTGATTGTAGTGACCCTCCCTACCGACCTTTAGGGTATAAAAGAAGGGCACTATGACCTGACCATCTAAGTCAGATCCTAACCCCGGATTAGCACGTTTGCACGCACTTCATCCGGTTGTCTGTAAGGCTTAGTGCCTTAGGTGAGCCGCCCCGGGTGCACGTACAGCACCCTCCCTATTTTCCAGATAGGTACTGGAGCTGTAGGCACGCTCACTTCCTGTCGCGCTCCACACGACTAACGGTTGTAACTCTTAACTTAGTACTTTAGTAGCAGTAGAGTTCCGTACCCATTTCTGCCGCCAAGCAGTAATGTTGCGTTCCGATTTTGAAGAGTAAGGGTGCTGGTGAAATTACAGGCACATGGGACTTGTCAACTTATGTCTCAGGGTGACGGGTGCAGTGGCAGGCCCCTCAGGTCTTTGCGATTTAAAGTTCTAGGCGGTACTGCAACTGCTGCGGACAGGCGTGTCGCTGACCACCAAGCATACGACTAGTTTGTCCCATCACTTGCTTTTATAAAAAAAAAAAACTAAAAATTTGCCGTAACTAACGTAAACGACATTTTTAGCGAAATTAAGTTATTAACATATCAGCGAGATCAGATCTACAACCCCCTCTATTGGTTTTTAATTTTTTTTGTTTAGTTTCAGTTTTATTGTTAAGCGAAATCAGCGTAATTGACCTTTTTTTTAAGTGACAATAAAGATATAGGTGCCAGTATCTCGACAGTTACCGAAATGCAAATGCGTTAGTTATGACAAGGAGGGGATACTTTACGAAAATAGGAATACAATATATTCATGTTGCAACGCTAATTTAACAACATTAAAACGAAACGAATTCAAATAAAGTCAACAATAAAGCGTTACGTCAACGTGGCGTATCGAAAATCGCTGTCTGTGCCGTAGGCGGCACTTAAGCATCGGCAGCTTTCAACGATCCTAAATACTTTTACTTTCTAAATCTTTATAAATTATTTACCTGCATTTCATGTAAATCTTATCGTTACGCTCCACCAGGCAAATAAGCGGTGGTCGTATAAATCTGCATAATTACGTAAAAGCTTTATGCACTCCGCTAAAGTGTTAATCGTATGCATAGCCCGTCTCCACACTGAAGTACTCTTAATGGCAATTCATAACAGATTTAAAGTACACGCATGATTTGGTATGTTAAATATTCAAGATTCCTGAAACTTAAAGAAGATGGTATTAAGTAAGCATTTCATATTTCCGCCTTTTTGCGACTGTCATACCGGTCGTAAACGGCGACGACGTTGAAGAAAAGGATTTTTATTTTTTAATACTTACCAACGGACGGAGCTGTGCCGGTCTCCAACAAAAAAGAACTGAAACTACTCGTATCTCCAACTTTTTTCCCGCGTCATATGGTGAGGAAAATATAAAACACAATATCAGAGCGGTACCGTAACTTCATTTTGAAGAAAAGAGATTTGCGCCGCGACCCCACCCGCCCAACACGCCCCTTGCATATGCATCCGTACGGCGAGCGTCTTCCATTCTATTCTTTCTTCCTCGGGCATAATACAAGTGTGCGAGTCGGCTGCTTATTTCACTTGGAACTTGTTTAGCGCGGATTGAACTTGTTGGATCCGGATTTGGGAGTTGCGAGGCCTCGTAAGCAAACAGACAAGGGTAACAAAGTGGGAAGCAGTCGTGTTATCTAACGGGTGAGTATTGGTCCTGGAAAGATTCCTCCTCGAGCTAAGTAAACTGAAAGTCGACTTAGAGTTTTTTTTTATTTATAAAGTTTCCTGCTTTGTCTTTGAAAGTTTTCGCTCTGAATTCATGATATTCGATTTTACAGGATTGTAAAAGACACGACTAAACTTTTGAGCCTTTATACCAAGTGGAGGAATAATATAGAACGCGAGGATAGATGAATTGGCATAAAACTGTCGCATCTTGGCGGCGCGGCGGCGGCAAGAAGATGATCGTTTTGCTGACGAGGCTTGTTATCCTGAATATAATACTCGTATGCGACTGCAAGTCGGGGCTGAATAATCATATTCTAGTCAGACTGCAGCTTTGCTTAGACAAATCGAAATACGATGTTAGAGTAAAATTTTGACATAATGATACAAGTGTAGGTATTTTGTGGTTTTACTTCATTGAATTTGTCACGTATTCATGGACGATAGTTGGGTTTGATTTATGCCAGGATGTTGAAGCCATTGTACGGACAACGGCACATCAGACTACGGAACTACACTCCACTACTACTCCAGTGCAACGGAACAAGATACGTCAATGTGTAGCTTGATGTGCTGGCGTGTGTACCTATTTTCCGTTTACTAATCAAGAGGAACTTATGTTTTGTAAAATCACTTATAGGCAAATATTGAATAATGCTTCGACAACAGTAGCAACAGCTTTAGTAGCAGTAGAGCTCCTTGTGAAGGAGTTCGTCTAAGGAAGTATTGCCACCTTATCTATTTCTGCTACCAAGCAGTAATGTTAGCATTACAGTGTTCCGTGCTGTACAGTGCTGGTGAAATTACAGGCACATGGGACTTGTCAACTTATATCTCAGTGGCAGCAACCCTCAGATCTTTGCGATTTAAAGCTCTGAGTGGCACTGCAACTGTTATAGACAGGCGTGTAGCTCATCAGGCGTACGACTTGTTCGTTCCGTCACCTGATATTATAAAAAAAATAAATTGCCTAGTGGTGATTGACAATGTGGTCGAGAATGGTTATGACATGCTTACACCTAAAACGTGCCTTTGGATTTGACTACGAATAATGTAATACAGCAACATACCCATACTATACGAAACACAACGCAACTTGGGCAACAACGAGCAATCCCTATAAACTGAACTGATGTTGTCTCGACACGACGTGATCATTACGTAGATTCGAGATCCGACCCTACACTACATACGTATGAAATCATTCAACTGTCACTCGTACTTGGACTTACGGTAATGAGATTCCCAATCACTCCTGGGAAATTCGCATAATGTGTCCCCTCATAATTTGTTGCTAGACTGACGTGATTTCCTTTCAATTATACAGAAGCTTTGTGTGTAAACTGAACCATTAATTCATTTGCTTAATTGCTTTTCAATTGTTTGGTAATTTATTATATTACGCGTAATTTTGTTAAACAATTTTCTAAATCCCAAAATGATTACATCGTCCTTGGTTTTGAAGCAACGTGACACAGTTAAAGTATCGTATGCTATAACTCTACAAATAACGGTAGCTTAAGTGACGTTGTTATTTACATCCCAAAACCGCTGTCTACAATCCAGGAAGTGCCATTAATCAAACAAATACGGCAAACTAAAACTGAGTAACTTTAAAGGGAGCACGCATGGCGGCCTACAAAGGGGGTCTCAGTCCCCATAATCCCTGGAAAGCGACAAATCATTACCCCTTGATTGTTGCAGTTTGCAGGCGTCCACACTGAATACCCCGAACGTGCGTGCCTGTACCTGACAACTTGCAAAATTGGATACCTTCGCGAATAATTTAGAGATGGGATTCTAGTCGATGTTTGTTAACGATTTCTATTTTGATGACACTATAGTTGAATATTTTTGTGTTAATTCTGATCGAGTATATATATATATTTATTGTTCCTTACTACTAACTTAAGCATAATATAAAATAAAATTAAGGAAAAATAAACTCAAATGATCTTTATTTTATGGGTGCGGAAATTATATTCGATTAAACTCTAATACTCATTCGTAAGGCAGATTCCCCTGAGAAAAATGAGTAAGAAACTCTAGGAGTTGCTC